CGCGATCTCGCTTCTGAATTGCGAATAGCAAAAATGCATCATAAACAAATGTTTGGAAAACAGCTGGCGTCTTTGGTGAGATAGAATTTGCAAGATAATGTATATATAGCAATAATACATGTATGTGTGTTTTATTCATTTCTCCAGTACCGATAGCAGAACCGTTAACGTCAGAGCTTATCGATACTCCGGTCTTTCATAATTTAGCCCCAGTACCGATTAAATACCGAGTTTCGGTACCCATCCCTAGTGCTGACACAAAGTTCAAATGATTTTCTACGGTCGCTTTGACGCGTTCTGTTGCGGCACAGACACGGTGTCAGCATAGTTTGTCAGTACAGTCAGTAACGTAGCAGAAGCAGATTGAAAAGTTAGTATCTTTCTGCAGTCCAGACGGCAGTGCGGTGGTGGTTTGAGTCTGTTGAATGGTGATTTAATGCTACGTTGTCACCTAGTTGGAGAGACTCAATGCTAAGTAAATAAACAACAATGTCCCCGTCTTTTACTCTCACAATGAGCTTAACATATTCGTTTGCTACATTAGTAGGGCCCTATGATTTCCGTGATGCATAGACGGCAGTGCGGTGGTGGTTTGAGTCTGTTGAATAGTGATTTAGTGCTACGTTGTCACCTAGTTGGAGAGACTCAATGCTCAGTAAATAAACAACAATGTCCCTGTCTTTTACTCTCACAATGAGCTTATCATATTAGTTTGCTACATTAGTAGGGCCCTATGATTTCCACTAGGCATGGGCTGGTATGAGATTTTGACGGTTTGATAACCTTAAGCAACAATATCACGGTTTCACGGTATCGTCATTACAGCTCTAAAATGTGTTATTTTTAAATGACTGGGTAAAAAAAAACAAAAAAACTTTTTTCTGCTGAACAACACAATATATTTTGTTTTTGATCAACATACAGAATATTAGGAACAGTAGAATTTGTTTATTTTTCTTTGTTGTTTGCAATAAGACAAAAAACGGCCGGTTGCCGATGGCGTAAGTTCCAAGGGAAGCTCCTTAAGTTCATCCATCATACACACACGTGACTGACCGCTCGCTCGCACCAACAGGAGGAGGAGGGTCGTGTTACTCTCTACACTTCACTCAACCTGAGGGATTCCTACACTTTCAGTCTTTGAGGAGTCATGAAAAACAGCGCATACCGCAGGAACGGTATAACGGAAGATATTAGCGGTTTTGAAACCGTGAAATTTTCAAATCACGGTATACATTGAAACCGGTAATCGGCCCATGCCTACACGGACCGTGTCCATAGTGTCATTGTGTCGCCTGCCAATGACGGCCTAACCTCTCGATTTCTGGTTTTGTTTTGTAGAAAACATGGAAACACCAAAGACGCTTTAATATGTTGTGCGTTTTAATAGACCGGTGACGACCGCA